CAATTAGATGGAAAGTTATTGTGTTCTAAATTCTCAACCAGTCAAATTGAAGTCTCTACTTAGCCTAAGCAGAAAATGCTCATCATCGAAATTAATCAAGGTATTGATGTAATGAACTATAACCCCAATGCAAGAGCTAAATCTGCCTGTTGCAGGTCTTTCTTAATTAAATATTATATAAATTATTAATTAGCCGTTAATTAATTTATCAAGACCATAATGAACTCTCGATGCCATCATTAGTCTGCGATATTTAGTGCATTTGAATACGTTTTGTGATGGATGATTTAACGTAAAAAAGGTTAATCGAGACTGTTTATTATCGTACCAACGGTAGTAATGACAATCAAGGCTAGCCTAAAATTGAATCGCTAATATCTCGGTTCAGAGTGAAGCAATTTGGCTGAAATTTTCAGCACATTAATAATAATAATATAATATGTGACTGTCCATGCTTAGATTGGGCTCAAAGAGGACATCTAAGTTCTTCACAGTGTCTGATGGTGCAATTGTTGCATCTGCTACAACCACACCATTTGAACCTGGATTTTTCAGACGAGTATTTGGACCAAAGAAGATACATTCTGTTTTAGTGTCATTCAATTTCAACATGTTTCTTGTCATCCAGTCTTTAATGTCACGTTTACACAATTTGATGTCAGAAAAATTTTGGGATAGTTTTTGAAAAGGAGTAATTTGCAGTTAGCTGTGTATCATCTGCATAAGAATGTCGTCCTAGACCATGTTTATCGATTAGTTGTCCTAAATTCTTAATATACGTCACAAAAAGGATAGGTCCTAGGACTGATCCTTGTGGAACTCCCCAGTTTAACGGAATCTTGTCTGATTTCACTTTATCTACTAGAACAGATTGGGGTCTATTAGTAAGGTATGAATCAAACCAATTTAATATGATACCATTTAGACCAAAGTCGTGTTTAAGACACCCAAGCAGCCTGTCATGATTGATCGTGTCGAAAGCTGCGGATAAGTCCAAGAGGACCAATAGGGAGATACTGATAGCATCCACAGACATTCGAATATCATTTGTCACTCTTAAGAGTCCAGTTTCAGTGCTGTGTCCAAAACCATATGCGGATTGGAATTCATCCATAAGATCATGATGAATCAGATGGTCCATAAGTTGAGACTTGGCAGCCTTTTCTAGTATCTTAGAAAGAAACGATAAATTGGGGAAAGGGCGGTAGTTTGATAGGGAGGAAACTTCAAGATGAGGTTTCTTTAACAGGGGCTTAACCACTGCTTCTTTGAGACCTTGGGGAACAATGCCACATTCCAAGCTTTTATTAATGATACACTTAATGACTGGGAGAAGCACATTCACATAATCCAAGAAGAATTTAGTTGGAACAGGGTCTAACTCACAACTTGTAGGCTTAGAATCTTTTATTATTTTCAATACTTGATCTTCCGTATAAGATTTGAAAAAACAATCACATAATCCAAGGGGAATTTAGTTGGAACAGGGTCTAACTCACAACTTGTAGGCTTAGAATCTTTTATTCTTTTCAATACTTGCTCTTCTGTATAAGATTTGAAAAAACAAAGAGACGTTGAAGACCGCATGGATGTGTGTTGTGATGTATATGTAGTGTCATTTCGTACTGATTTAATCAAGTCATCTCGGATTTTATCAATCTTCCCTTTGAAAAAACTTGCAAAGTCATTTGCCAGGGTGGTATAATCGTCTGCTGCTGTGAGTGGAGACAATATTCTTTGTCCTAATAAATCAAACAGATGAGTGAATAAAGCCTTAGAATTTCCAGAATTGGTTAAGATTTGGTTATTGTAATAATGAGTTTTCGAATGTCGGAGTTTATTGTTCACATCTGATCTGGCTTGACAGAAAATTTGTCTGTGTACTTCAAGTCTTGTCTTCCGCCATCTTCACTCAACTACCCATCGCTTACCTTTCAATGCAGCAATTTCATCAGTGGTATGGGCTTTGACACGAACAACTTTGGATTTGCATGGAGCGTGTTTGTCAAAAAGGGAGGTAAGGGTTAAATTGTACAGGTCAACGAGTTCGTCAACCTTTCAGGTGTATTTTTAAAAAGGCTTGAATCTAATAAATCCTTTTCAAAATCTGTCTTTGAGATACACTTAATGTTCCTGCAATCTATCGCCTGCTTTGGGTTTGGTGGTTTAGAACAGTTTAAAGATATTTTGATCATAAAATGATCTGACATTTGATGATCTTAACAGATTAACAGAACACAGTTTTTATGGGGTACAATCACTAGTTTATTCTAAAAGCACGACGTTTCAACAAGTATCCTCTTATCGTTATCAAGCACAAATCACAATTTAGTAAACTTGTGGACAATATATATGAAATCAATAAGAAACCATCTGCATGGATTAAGAATAACAGTAATAGAAATAATCTGAGGTGTAAAGGATATTTAACAATAACAACAAACATAAGGTATATTAGCTATTAATAAACACTGATACTGCATGAGTAGGGGGTTATTAACAGTTGTGAGGTCCTTCAAAGGGTGGAATGTATAGGTAGAGGGAAGCTGATAAGGCACAGGTAGTGAAGCCATATCCATGAAGTTAAATAAGGTATGCATTATATAAATACAACTATAACAATACACAATATGAACTAAGAAAACAAGTCAAAAAAGGTCTAAAAATATAAGGGACAGGTTGGGAGTATCTATAATATAGAAAACTTATTAATGAAATGGGGTGGGGGGGGACAGTTTAGTACAACAAAGATGGCTTAATAGTTAAATTATGTTGTGCATCTTAATTACATCATCATATGCCCTGGGGATGTAGAGCCCTAAGTCCCTATTGAGTTCAGGTGAATGTCTTCTGATATTTATAGCTTCAAGGATCTTCCTGGTTTTCTTGTTCTGTTGGTTGGCGGTTAGTATCTGGACCTCATTCCATTTAACTCTATGTTGTGGGTGATTCTGGAGTTATTAGTAGCGGCTTTGGACTTATGTTCCGTTATCTTTTTGTCAATGGGTCGTTTCGTTTCCCCAATATATGATGCATTGCAGGAACAAACCACTTGGTAGACGACTCCTTTGGGTTGAATGGGGAGAATTGGTTGCAGCTTGCCGTTGGCTTTCAATATCTGTTTCAGGGTGGTCGGGACTACTGAACTACTGAATCAGAATGTCGAGAAACAACCCAGTCCATTTTTATGAGTGGCTGTGTTTACATGCTGGATAAACTTATGAGAATTTAAAAGACTAAGAATCTTTTTGACACATGGTTGATGCTGTTCCTCATAGTGGGTATTCAAATCACCCAGAAGGAGCAGTTTCACCTTTTTGACATTTAAGGAACCTAGATTCGTAAATTGTATAATTTGTTCTGATCCCGTTTGTATATTATACGCATATACTTATATGTATGTATTTGCAAATAAACTATACAGAATAAAAAAAAAAAAGAAAAGAAATGTTGATAAATCGTCATGGAATTGACCACATGTCAGTTTGTTCTTGATGGAGGGGACCTATAGATACAAACAGCACGAGTGGATGTTTTGCAATGCTTAATTAATGTCTCAATATACTCAAATGAGGAGTACACAACATGTTTGGAGGGATGAGAATCTCAACATTCAGCTGATATTTATAGATAACAGCGACTCCACCACCTACTGATGTACTTCAGGGAACATGCTTGAACGTATAGCCTGGGGGGGTTAATTCAGCTATTTTAGCCTCATCACCGTTTGATCTTAACCATGTCTCGGTTAGATACAGAATGTCAATTTGATTTTCAATGATATAGTCGAAAATTTCAAGTGTCTTGTTACGGCAGGAACGGGAGTTCCAGAGAAGTGGATTCAGTTGAGATGACCTATGCTGCGGATAGACTTCTACAAGGTTTCTTATATTGGTGCCTGTGGAAGGGTGTTGATAGATTTTGTTTCCAGAATTTAATGTTGCATGTACGTTTAATAGGAAAGATACCCTGATCATAGTTCACCTTACGTTTTCCTCCCCGACCTCTTCGACCACTGCGTTATATATTCCAAGATGTTTCCAAGTTAACCTCTAAATTTTCACAAATTTTTTGACCAAAGTTTTTAATTGAGAAAAGTTTTCCCCCTGAATAAGTGTACATCACTGTGTTTAGATGAGTAGAAACCGGTTTTAACAAACTGTTGAATTGAGAAAGTTCAATGAAACAGCTCACAAACACTAAACTAGTCAACAACATTTCAGTTTTTCGCTTGAGTAATTATACCTCACATTGTTTATATGATTAGAGTTTGAGTCTTACTTACAGATAAATGATGACTGTTCACTAAAAACAGCTGACAATCACCAAACTAGATAACAACATTTCAATTTAAATCCATTGTTTAAACAAACTTGTAAATAACTTGTAAAATCCAAAAATTCGCAATGGAATTTTTTGCACAAAGTAATCCTGATGATAACAGAAAATGACAGAACAACTTTGAAAGTTGTACACAATGAAATAACTCCAAAAACTTAGAACAAACAGAGCTAAATTACAGTGGCTGTCTGTTAGCTAGGCGCATGACACTATTAAGCATTCTGTTTTCATTATCTATTGTTTTAACTATTATAACGAGAACTGTCAGCTCTTTATCTAATCTTAACTAATGCCCCTTTAACTAGAACCAAAGTTATCTTGTCCCAAAACATTAACCAACCAAATTGCTTATCTCTGCTTAACCCAGGCAGAAATGCTCATCTTCGAACTCCAAGGCATTCATCTAATAAAACACTTACACTAAGTTTGAACATTCTAGCTTAATTAGAAGTAGAGTTATTGTGTCCAAAATAATGTGACAGACAGACGGATGGAGGGACAGAGCCATTTTGATAGTCCCCTGAAATCATGCTAAGTATTCAAATTTGTATAGGCATATTATTTTCTGGCACAATCATATTTACATACCGGTACCTTGAAAAACAATCTTAAGTTGATTTCAAAGAACTATTATTTTGATAGGTATTATTTCTTTTCAGGTAGGCTGGCTGATAAAATATTTATGTATGTGTATGTACACTGCATCTTATAGTATTGAGGATGGGTCAAGGCCCAAGTTTTTCAGATCCTGCTCATCATGTTGGACGTTTGCAGGCTAACATTGAAATAATGCATCGAATAGCAAATTTAAACCATGAAGATTTTAAAAACTCTATTAAAGAACTCAATGCAATGTAAGTACATGTAGATTATATACTGCCAACTAAATTGAATTTCCTGGAGGATGCTGAAAGTGAAAGCACGAAATTAAAACTTAAATTTTATGAAAGGAAGCGTCAGTCCAGAGTATGCAGTGCCTTTAATTGGTTTAATATTAAGATGGAAATATATTGCCAAAGTAATAAACAGTTTATTTTCCTTGTCTTATATAATAAGGAATCAAAAGAATCGCCAAATTATTACCTTTTTATACGCCCACATTGAAATTTGGTCGTATATTGCAGTCGCCCCGTCCAGCGTCCAGAATTGCTTGTGGATGCTCTAGAGGCTAAAGTTAATATCCGACTGACTTCAAATTTATACACAGTGTTAATGGTTACGCGACGATAATTACTGCCAGATAATTAGAGCCTAAAGTTAATATTCAATATGACTTTATGCTGAAAATTTCAGTTAAATAACTTCACTCTGAGCAGAGAAATTCTCTTTTGAATTTCACGGTAGCCTCGATTGTCATTGTTACCTTTGTTCCGATATTAAACAAAGTCTCAATTATCGATTTTTATGGTTAATCATAACAGCCAGTGAACAGCAGGTCAGATTCAAATCTGTTTGTAATCGGGGGCATACTATAGCACCAAGAGTTGATTATGGTCTTGTAGTGTTAATAAATGTCTAATTAATAGTTTAAACATTTAAGGCCTATAGAAAGATCTACCTAGTTAGTCGGGTAAAGATAAGCCATATGGAATGGATACCTAGAACACATTGCAACAGAATTTTTCTCGACTGAATCTGGTAGAGGGATCCCTGAAGGTCACCCAAATAAAAATAGATAGGTTTTCGAGTAATTAGCATAAATCCAATATGGCCGCCATTGGAACCTTAAAACTGCGATATAATCCAGGGAATGGTTGAGTTTGGAGGGTGTAAATGTTTAAAGGGTAGATACGAAAGTGGTACAGATGGCTCAGAAAAAACATAGATATATGGCGTCCCTGTGACGTCATACCGTCATACGGTCAACAATTAACATAAATCCAATATGGCAGCCATTGAAGCTTAAAACTCTGATATGGTCTCGGGAATGGTTAAGTTTGGAGGGTGTAAATGTATTAAGGGTAGAGAGGAAAGTGGTACAGATGGCTCAGAAAAACATAGCTATATGGCCAAAGCCGTATATAGGGCTTTGTATTGTTGTATAGCCATATGATATATCAGTTCTAAGCAAGTATTATGGTGGTCTGTATCCTACAACTATAGATACATGATTTATCTCCCTTACATATTGCCTGTTGTAAGACTTGATAATTTTTCTACTTTTCTACTTTGTATACTATGCTTCAACCTGCAGATCTTAAAGATAATTTAGATTGGTTTGTAGATAAAGCCTTTAATGGAGCTTTCGGGAAAGGCAGAAACTTGATGGCCATTTATGCAGAAGATGCTAAATGGATTATAAAACGTTGCAATGCCGACACTGTAGTTTTTGATAAAGAAAAATTTCAAAATATCATACATTTCCTTATTGATAATGCCATATTTGAGGATGGGGATCAGATAATGCAACAAACCATTGGTTTGCCAATGGGAACTGACCCCGCCCCATTTATGGCAAACGCACATTTATATAAATATGAATTCGACTTTCAAGACCATAAAAGAAAAACAGATTACAAAGTAGCTAAAAGTCTAAACTATACCTTCCGATACATTGATGACATAACACCTATCAATAATAATGGAAATTTCAACAAATATAAAAGTGAGATATATCCTCCTGAACTAATATTAAATAAAGAAAATTCCGGTACTATAAATGCATCTGTTCTTGACCTTAACATCAATATAATTAACAATAAATTTAATGTAGGTATTTTCGACAAAACGGATAAATTTGGTTTTGAAGTAGTAAAATACCCGTCAATCTATAGTAACATACCAGATACCACGCTATATAGTGTTTTCTATTCACAGGCATTACGATTTTTGACAATATGTAACGATAAAGAACTATTTCTCTCCCGAATAAAATCTCTTTACTTTAAATGCACTGCCAAAGGCGCTACACAATTACGCATTTTAAAAGAAATTTCAAAACTTCCATTACTTCAACATACCAAGTTTGACATTTCTTGTAAGTATATAACCGACTACATACTGGATAATAATGATCCAATTTAAATTTTATTTTAGATTTTCTGTAGTTACCTAACCCTGTCTGAATTACCTCCCTTAATGTTATTCCTTTATAAATATACTTACATAGTACGATTTCTTCAACATACCTGTTTTGCATTTCTTGTGTGGGGTATTATATTAATATATTATTATATATTGTACAATTACATAACTTAATAATTCCGATTAGTCGCTAGAACTTATGGTTTTTAAGCTTTTAATGTTATTTTATCTGGATTATCGCCCTTATTATTGTGATTTTTTATCACCTTCTAATGCCCCATTGACACTTTCACGCATTTTGAATCCGCAATGGTAATCATTAATGCGTACCAATGTGGATGGATATCATGTATATTTCACCTGAAAATCAAATACTTCGTACCGTTGCCGACCAACCTTTGCTCATAGTATTCAAAATCTGTCCGCACTTGTGCGCATTCGTACCATGTTAGTTGTCTCTCATGTGTCCGCATCGTCCATCATTGTCCCGTTACAGTACGCAATATCTGCGGATAGTTTGCGCACAGTTTGCGCAGGTGACCGAGCACTTGCGCTATGGTACGCCAGTTCCTGCATTGTCAGGTATTGGTTACGCTAGAGTTCTCAGTTTTAAGCATGCGTGACCATTTTGTGAATAATTTTGTGGCATGCACTGGCACGCTTCATAGAAATAGTATATATAAAGGAAAGGTATTGGGATATGGTCCATTCCGTCGGCAACTCTTCAAAATGATGAACTCCAGAGACTTTGAAGAAAGGAACCTTACTTTGCAAAACGTACATCTTACAGCAGCTGCTGGTCTACTACTGTTGGAAGAAGATGAAAGTGAACGAAATATTGTTCTACAATCAAAACCTGACACTGACAGAACGTCTGTCTTTAGCAAGAAAAGAAAAGTCAGGAGACTCTGGGTGAGGGAATGGTTGACAAGGAGACAACATTTTGGCCATTATGATGACCAGTTATTGTCGGAACTACACAAGGAAGATTGCAGAGGTTACCGGAACTTCCTACGTATCACCCCCGAACTGTTTCAAGAGATGATTGAAAAGTTGACCCCACACCTGAAGAAGAATAAAACATTTATGAGACAACCTCTTGAAGTTGGCCTGAAGTTAGCAATCACACTCCGCTTCTTAGTCGGTGGCGATTCCTATGCAAGTCTCCAATACAGTTTTCAGAGTTGAACTTAGCACTATATGCAAGTTTCTACCAGAAGTATGTAAAGCTATCGTCAAGGTCTACAAGACAGAAGTATTAGTTTGTCCTAGAACAGAAGACCAGTGGAAGACTATTGCTGAAGGTTTTAGTAGCAGATTGAATTACCACAACTGTCTTGGAGCCGTTGACGGCAAGCATGTTGCTATGAAGAAACCCCCCTCGGGTGGATCCTTCTACTTTAACTACAAGAACTTTCATAGCATCGTGCTTCTTGCAGTGGTGGATGCTGGGTACCAATTTCTGTACCTTGATGTTGGAGCGGAAGGTGGAGCTTCTGATGGTGGAACATGGAGCAACTGTACGTTACATGAAGCTGATTGGTGCGGCGTCTGTGAGTGAAGCAAACCTGCCAATGAGTATATGAGAGTAAACTATGAGCACCAGTGAGTAAATTATGAGCACCAGTGAGTACACTGTGAGGATCAATGAGTAAACTGTGAGCACCAATGAGTGAAACACGTCAAGTGGCGGGAAGAATTCCTGACCACTGGCAGATACCTACATCAACCCATGAGCACCATTGCTGATCTTGTCGTACCAGTGATGAACCTTGCGCACCAATGCATGACAATGAGTACCCCTGAGTGCGTGACATAATTTCCATTGACACTTTTACGCACCGGGTACGCATAGTTTGCGCATAGTTCACGAAAATGGTACGCCCTGGAGTGCGTGGCATGAGCTTGGACAAATCCAAGGTTTTGGGTCGGCACTGTCACGCAATGGTACGCATAGTTTACGACTTTTTGCCGCGATGGTACGCATAGTTTCCGTCTTGGTACGAACTTTAGCGTACCAAAGCATACCACGATTGCGTGAAAGTGTCAATGGGGCATAAGATAAGACTGTTTGCCGCGATGGTACGCATAGTTTCCGCCTTGGTACGAACTTTAGCGTACCAAAGCGTACCACGCTTGCGTGAAAGTGTCAATGGGGCATAAGATATGACGTCATTCTCAGTCAGCAGACGGCTGTCCCTCGAGACAGTCTACATTTCCTACTTGCTTTTCTGTATTCAGTTTTGTTTTTGTTTTTTGTGACTATGGAACATGTACCCTATATGTATTAAATACTGAAGCGTTTCTTTATTGAATTTAAGAGTTTAGACAACTTTTTTAAACATTTCACCGATGTGGTTACTTGTATAGTTGAATTTTACTACATATGCTTACATTCGTATTTCGTGTAGCATATAGCAGATCATGACTCATGCTGGCATTACACAATGGGTTCTTTGGGTTGTATTCCTAATTGTTTTCAAATTTGAGTGAAGTCTGTGTCACTACAGACCGGGGACTGTACAGCGCAGTCGACGCTTACGGCTAGCCCCGGTTCCATTCACTTTTTTTGAATTGTCTGTATGTTTGTGTTTTCCTGAGTATGATGTCCTGTCCGTGTATTTGTTTTTGTGTAAATTTTATGTGGTGCAGTCCCCCTGCACTTACTATTAGGAGTAAGCTCCCCTGAAAGGAAGTGAAAAAACATGTGCCTATGATAAAGTCTTTGTTTCTATGATCAATCTTCTCCGATGAAAATATAATAATTAGTGTGGACTTGACAGCACACAACATGGTGGAGACGCCAAAGAGTTCCCCAATCTAAGTATTG